CAAAATGGCATAGCCAATGGGGATACCTGGTGACCTACCTCTGCAGTTGGGGAACCCAGCCCAGAACTGGTCTGTGAGAGTTCTATTGAACTGTGCTTAATAAGCAACCTCTCATCATATTCTTTCAAGCAACCACAATAAACTCATTGGTTTACCAAGCTAGGCTTGGGTGGAATTATTTTCTTTGGTCTGTTGTCATTGCCATTTATTCACATCTGTTGTGGAATATTTGTTTGTGCTGTAAAGATGTGTCTTTGCCAAGGTGCCTTCTCACATGTTTAATAAAGAGTTGAATGGCCAATAGCTAGGCAGGAAGATGTTAGGTGGGACTTCCAGAGATAGAGAAGACTCTGGGAAGGAGAAAGAGGGAGATGCCAGGAGACAAGGAGAGGAAACGCAAGGTACAAGATGAAAGAGAGGTAACACCATATGCTAAAATAGATGAATATAAATTGGCTAATTTAAGTTATAAGAGCTAGTAGGATAAGCCTAAGCTAATGGCCAGGCATTCATAATTACTAAGAAGTCTTCATGTCTTTATTTGGGAGCTGACTAGTGGTATAAAGAAACACTCACTACAACATTATTTTTCCTTTCCTCCTGGGACCACAGAAGGCAGGAAGTAATGCTTTCAGATGTCTCAGGTCCTTGGAAGTGGGCTCAGGATTTGGTGCGAGGTTTTCTTTGGGACCAGAAGAATAAATGAAGGGAAGCTGAAGTTCTCCAAGGAAACTGGATCAGGTAACAGCTCACAGTTGATACCAATCCATCTAAGACTCATTCACTTGGTGCTAGGTTGTTTCATGACTTTTCCTGGGAAGAAGTGAATAAATGGCAATGACTATGGACCAAAGGAAAGAATTCTACCCAAGTCTAGCTTGATAAAGCAATGAGTTTTCTGAGGTTGCTTATAAGAATATGGTGAGAGGTTGCTTACAAAGCAATTTAAAAAGCAGTTGCATCGCTGAAAAGCCCACCCAGAGTGGGTGTTGACTTCTGAAGATACATCTATCTTATAAACTTTGTATCTTTCTGAGCTTCCTGCTCCCTGTAAGTTCTATGAGCTTCTTGTACCTTGCAAGCTTCTCTTAGTTTCAATTCAAAGGAAAAAGCTGAAGAATAGGGCACCCATAGCACTACCAGATTAGCACTGGAACCTGTTCCGAGCTTGTTGTGGACTGTCTGGACTTGGGTTCCCCCCAAGAAGAGCCTGGGGCAGGGATTGTGTGAAAAGGTTAATTGGGAAAATGAACCCAGATGTTCCTAGGTAGAGAGGGTAGGGAGGGATTGTCCTTGATCCAAAGTGTGGTGATGGGCTGGGAGGGAGACCTCCTACTCATGCAGGATTTGAACAGGGAATCAGGGTTACTATTGGCCAGGCTTTCAGTTCTTATTGTTTGGGTTCAAACCCTTGCTCTGAGCAATTCAGATAACTATACTGTTTGACTGGAATCTCCAGCTTGCTCTGGGAAGACCCATTTCTTTATCCTCAAATCCCATCCTTGTAGAAAGTCTTTTGGAAGAGCCACCAAAAAGCCCAGTTCTGCATTCTTAGCAGCTGGTGGCTCCTACCAGGACCTTGGAAAACGCCTTCCAGGATCCTGGAGTCAATCCTCCCAGGACCTTGGGGACAGTCCTCCCAGGACCTTGGGAACAGACCTCCCAGGACCTTGGGAAAAGACCTCCCAGGACTTTGCAGAGACAGAGTGTACTGCATACATCTGTGGCAGAACATAGTATGTATAATCCATTTCTGTTGTTCTGTGATCTAGGGCTTTTCAGAACTTGCTCATTCTTGACACATGTGGCTAGTTAGCAAGGTGGACTCATAGCCAAGGGAATCCCCAGGAAAAGATATGGAGCTGAGGACTGGGGTGGTGGTGGTGGTGGTGGTGAGACATTAAGAGGAAAAGGATAAGAACAGGAAAACAGCTCTTTCACAACTTTTTGGTTTGGAGACAGGTTCTTACTCTGTATCCCAGGTGACCTGCTGGCCTCTAATGAGTTGTGATTTTCCTATCTCAGCATCCCACATGCTGGAATTACAGGCATGAGCCAATATACTGAGCTCTAACAACATTTAACCAGGAGCAGAGAAGCAGCTAGGAGCACCCCAAGCTCTATTCCACTCCTGTTACATCTGAGGATTTTGTATAGCAAGCCAGGCCAGGAGCAGCTCTGAAAAAACGAGGAGCAGTGTCTTCACACCAGTCCCAATTGGACAAGCCCCAGCCTCATTCTGGGAAGGCTACAATGCACCTAAACCCAGCAAACAGGAGAAGCTCCGAACGGGCACATTTGTGGTTGGCCTCAGAAAGTGTCTGGAAACATTCCCTGAAAATAACGAGAGGGAAAACTTTGATTAGTTCAATCCCAGATAATCCTGGCTGATGAAGTCGGATCTAGACTCCTTAATGGATTTAGGGCTCCAAGGGGGGTGGCAGAGGCAGCAGGCACTGGCTCTAGATCTGCCTGGTGAGAGGAGGCCAAGAGTAGTGCACACCAGGCTGCCAAAGCACCAAGGTGAGGTGCAAACCTCCCAGCCCATGTTTTTATCTGCCTGGAGACAGGGTGGACACACAATATGGGTAGGCTCAGGGGCACGGCCCTCTCTAGTGCCCGGTCTTTTAAACTACTGGAAGTGATTTCCTCTACTTTTGAGGACATTTGAGTAGAGCACTTTCTCATCTCTTGCTGTTGAGCCTCCATTCTTTGATGTCAGATCATGGACTTGCTTGCCGCAGGGGGTGCAGTGGCATAGGTTCCTTAGTAGGGAGGGGACTATGAAAACCAATTAGCCCACCCCTTTCATTCTGTATTGGAGGGGATCATGTGTGCCAGAGGGTGCACTTGGGAAATTTGGAGGACAGCTTGAGAGAGTAGGTTCTCCCCTTGTTGTGTGGATTCTGGACTATGCGTGTAGTCCGGCTTGAAGCCAAACACTTTCACCCTCTGAGCCATTTCGAAGGCACCATTAAAGGATTTCTTGCCAGTAAAGTGCCCAGAGTTCCAGCTCTCCTGCCAGACTTGTGCTGGCCCCATTTCATCCTGCCAGTTGTGAAACAAGCAACATTGGGATGCCTGTGTTCAGGAATAGCAGGACTCCTTAAGCTCTCTGAGCCCTAAGCAGGCTCCTTCCTCAGTAAGGCTCTGCCTCAGTTTCTCCATTTCTCTTCTTGTGTTCCACGAGGCCGTTTGATTTATGTGAATAACCTCTTATCTGCAAGTGGGTTGATTTGGTAAGATCTTTCTCAGGGAGTTAAAACCAGATGTGCGCTTTGCGGTCACCAGCGGCTGAGGTGAGGTATTCCTCCATTCCCCAAACTTTTGCTTTTCTATACCGCTGGCATCTACTTGGGATGTGGGGAGTCTGTCATCTCGGTGGCTGTCCACCTCCTAAGACAGGACCTGGGAGAGGAAGGCCCTAAGATCTGGACCTCTGTGGCAAGGTCGCTGGACCTCATGTACTTGCTTGTGACCATGGATGAATCACCTACCCAGGTTACAGACTACAAAAGAGTGAACTGGATTTATCTTTCTTAACTGTGAGCCCAAATTTCAAACGATGCTGCTGCTAGCTGGCAGGGCTCTGTATCTCTGATGTCTTCCCCTAAATCCAAAAGTGAATTTTGGGCAACAGTCCTAGCAGAGCTGAAAAGGACTCCCCACAATCTCGCTCCCCTCCCGCGAGCAACTCAGGACAATTATCCTGAAGGAAAGTTCTGCTTTGTTAATCCAGAAGAACAGCTTGGAGGGGAGATTTGGGTCTCCCTTTAATAATGGAAAGTTAATGCGCAGCCTCTTGTCATTGTCTTTCTTAGAGCCCCTTGTTTAATCCTCTGGCTTAGTGGTGGCGCCCCTCACACAGCGAAGACAGCAAGGGAGACATGCTGTGCAGGGCTCTGCCCTGATCCCACGCGGAGGGAGCCGCGAGCAGCGCCATGTACTGCAGGACTCCAAAAGTTGTGGCTCGGTCTCTGGGCGATTTTGAGAACCACAGGAGAGCTGGGTCGCATGAGAGAATGGGAGTCTGGGCGGAGTCTGAGCCAGGAGTGGCTTGCTGGAGTGTTTTAATTAGTCCTAATTTCAACAACCATGGGATTCCTACGTGCCAATCAGGTTGTCTTGGATAATGATGAAACCGGACGGTGATTTGTTAGTCTCAGTAAGAGTTCCAATAGATGGACCTACCTGTTTATTCCACGCTCCCCACCCATTTAGTATTGCTGAATCAAATACCGGTACATTGTTATACTAAAACACTATCCATTGTTTACGTGAAATTTAAAGTCCATTGGGCTGCGTGTATTTTTGTTAACCCTGCCCACGGTTTTAGCCCTCATACTCCACTTCTGCCTCTCTTCCTCTCTCCTTCGCCTTTTGTAGCTCCTGCGATTTCACGAATTTGTTGCTACTGTTTGGTTGGAGGGAGAGTGGCCTACCTTGAGTTAAATACAAAATGTCACAGCTTCTTTCCTCCAGGGATTTTCAGACTGGGTGCTGAAATTGAAGGGGCTGCCGGCGTGGTTTGGGTAGCAGTGAGGGGGTTGTGGTTGGGAATTTGCCCAAAGTATCACAGGGCAGTGGGGCGTGTGCACGGATTTGGAAGGCCAGGAGTGTCCAGAATGGGGACCCATCAGCATGTGGAACTCGTGGGGTTCTTTGGGGGTGGACAGACAACACAGCTCTTGTTGCTCACTTTTCCTCTTCTCCCAGAACATGGGGGTGGGGTGGGTAAGGGACAGCTGGAGAGAGAAAAGAGGTGACTAGGAGGACCACAGTTGGGAGGCCAACGACTCAGGGGAGGGAAGCTGGTGGTGTCTGCACCTCGCTGATGGGAGCCTGGATGCGACTGCTCTCTGCTGATTGGCGCCTTCTGGGCCGTCTAAGTCTTACGGACAGCCTCCCCAGCACAAAAAGCATCGCTCGAGCTAGCCTCCTTTGCACTGGTGACCAAGACGGACTCAGCTCCTCTCGCCTGGTTTAGAGAGCCGAGAAGCATGACTGGACGGGATGGGCTTTTGGATGGGCGCTCTAGGAGTAGAGCCCTGGCTCCAGACTGTCCTCCCACAGGCCCTCGCCTTCGAAGCTTCGCCATCAACGACCTGCTGGGCTTGGAATCGGACTTGCCAACTCAGGCTGGGCCGGGGTTAGAATCCAGCTGTGAAGCTCCAGCGGAGACCGCGGGCCCCGGGCCGGGATTCTGCGGTTCCTGCCCTGCGCGCGGGGCTCTCCCGCTGGGTCTGGGCCTCCTCTGCGGCTTCGGGGCGCAACCCCCCTCCGCGGCTGCTGCTCGTGCTCGCTGCCTGTTCCTCGCCGATCTGAGGTTTCTGTCGCCTGCAGGACCTGAGCCAGCGGTCGCCCAGACCCCGATCTGCCCTCCGCCCACACTCGGCCGCCAGCAGCGCAGTGAGAGCATCTCCACGTCGGGTAATTAGGCAAAACTTCCCAACCCCAATGCGCTCGAAACCTCCAGAAGCACCTAGGTAATGCTTGGTCGCCCTTTGAGACACTTTAGAACTCCGGAAGTTGGAATCGCAAGGGGAGCCCAGTCCGACTGGGACCCCAGCAGGGGGGTCCGCTGTGCCTCCTGCCATTGCTGGTCTCCAAACCCTAGCCTCTCCTCTCAAGCTTTATTCTACAGGCAGTGGGGACAATCGCCTTGGGTTCCGATGGACCCTATGTCCAGGCCAGCAGGCAGGCGCCTTTCTCTCAGCGCTTTGAGAGGCGAGTGGTCAGGAAGACTGGGGTCTGTCTCATATATCTTTAAGGTAGAATCTACAGAAATGACCCGTAGTTTTAGAGGGCTGGGTGTCAGCGGGAACTCTTGGCCTTTCTGGGTGCTAAGAAGAGTGTTCTGGGTCTCCAGCCTCTGTCTCGAGCCATCACACTCGTGTTTTGTTCAGAGTCCACTTATTTTTCTCAGGAAAAAAAAAGTCTTGGAGTGGGGAAAGAGAAGGAACATAAGACATTCATTCCACGGGGCAAGAAACTGGGAGGCTGGAGATGTGAGAGGGACAGGAGAGAATGATGCAGAAAACCGCGGACCTAGTGAAACTCTGTCCTGCAGAGCAACAAGCGGCTAGGTAGGCATAGTCGAGGAGTCTGATGAGCAGAGAGGGGCCGATCTCTGGGGCTCTCTATGGACAACCGACTTTATCGCATACTCCTGACCTCTCTGTAGGATGAAAGGAAACTCTGTTGTGTCATTAAAATCCAAACGGCTATTTTCATAGGGTGGCTTCTTCTCTGAATATTAAAGAAAGGAAAGGCAAAATGCAAGTAAATTTTATTTTGTAGAAACAGCATCATGTGACTGGTGAGAAATTCTGTCACTTTAAAAGAAAAAAGAAACGGTTGGCATTGATTTAAATACTAGATTGTCAATCCAGTATATGCAAATATTATCATTTCTGTGTAATCAATATGAAACAATTATGCTTTCGGGGATATTATGTTTTCCAGACTGACAGAGTGTTTTATATCTGCCACATGTCTTAGTAGCCACTGCTCATGCATTTTCTCACCCCAAATCTCCAATGGCTTCTGGAAACTCCATAGAAAAGCACAGAATATTATAATTCAAGTATGCCATTTTGTGGTGATATCATTGAAATAGAAACAAAACTGGGGCTGGGCAGTGGTGGCACACACCTTTAACCCCAGCCCTCTGGAGGCAGAAGCAGGGAGATCTCTGTGAGTTCCAGGCCAGCCTGGTTCACAACAGCAAGTTCCAGGACAGCCTCCAAAGTCACAGGGAAACCTTGTCTCAAAAACCAAACCAAAACAAAAAGTTTGGCTTCCTTACCCTGAGATCTTTTGCTATGTTGAAACTGCAACTACACAGTAGAATGGTATTGTTTCCAGGGGAACCTATACATCACAAGAACGGCACGCATAAACTTTGTATGCTGTGTCTCTAGAATGGGTGCATCAGGGCAGGGTGAGTTCTGACAAAGATTCTGTTGTCACAAATCCTGCCTCTCAGAAATGTCCACATGGACATTGAGGGGAGAGAGGAGGCAACTGGAGCATGGTGGTCTATTAGCTGTGGAACTCTGGTTGGAAAAGACAGTAAGTAGCCAAGTAGCATTGGTTTTACAGAATGTGAAATTTGGATCCCAACTTCATCACTGCAGCTTGACCTTGTGTGATCTGTCAGGGCAATAATACCAGCTGCCTTTGTGTTTTATTTTATGAGGAATAATTGAAATAATGCAAGCAGTATCTGGAATGTGAGAATTGCTCTCAGTTGCACTTATCAATAAGTACATTCTTAACAGATATACAATTTTAACCTTTACATTAAAATATAGCCCAGAATATAACAAAACCTTTCACGTTTTCAGAGAGTTATCTTCTTGTACCAACAGATGGGGACAGTCCATCTGAAGAAAAGAGTGATCTGAAGATGTCCCCTGCCCCAGGCAAGAGGAAGAAGCGGAGGCACAGGTATGGGTTCCAGGCTTCTGTCTGTCTTTCCTCTGATGGACACAATTCTACTGTCTTTGAGAACAGTGTCTGAGAATTATAGAGGGCCCAACAATCTATTGGTGGCTAATGAGTACCACATAGCCATTTTCAAAGGTGACCTGTAATCCCCAGGAGGCTACAGAAAACTCTCCACTATTCTAAAGACATGGTTTTGTGGGTTTGTAAATGGGTTTTATCTCTGGCATAATTCATGTGTATTTCTGGCTCTCTATAGGACGGTTTTCACTGCCCATCAACTGCAAGAACTGGAGAAGGCATTTGGTGAGGCTCACTACCCTGATGTGTATGCCCGGGAAATGCTGGCTGTGAAAACAGAGCTCCCCGAAGACCGAATACAGGTGTCTAGTGGTGTCCTTTCTCTTTTCTAAAGGCACTGCAGAGAACATTCCAGCACACAGTGAACGTCCCATAGCCACTCAGAATAGCCCAGTATGGTGTTCTTCACTTGAGACTCAGGGTGACTTAGCTGAAGACACTAAAAGACTCTTTCTGGCCTTCATGCCTTATTTCTTTTATCATCTTTAACTTGTCCTCAAATATTACACAATTTTGAGCCATCAAGATGGCCTAGTGGGTTAAGGCACCTGCCACCAAAATGACTTACATCTGAGTTGGATCCCTGGAACCCACTTGGTAGGAGAGCACTAATTGGTGTATATTTTCTCTGGGATCCATATGTGTGATGTGCCACACCAACTTCTACACTCATGCACACAAAATTAATTTTTAAAAGATGGTGTTTCAAAAAAAACCACACAATTGTATGTTGAACTAGAAAACTGCATGAAGACATATTGGCAAAAATGTTTTCCTCTCATCTTTAGTTCTTAAAGAAATCACCATATGCATACAGCCTGAGTAGGTGTCAGAAGGTGCTATGTATCATAGGCATATTCATCCTGAAAGTTCTCTCGTGCTGGAGGATGTGCTCTGTTGGAAGAGTTGCCAGTGACTTGCTGCCTTGAGCTTCGGGTTATCTTGTATTGTTTAAATTAATGTACTTTTCTTCAGGAAATAGCAGCAGTCCATAAGTCTAATTGAAGGGGCCATTGCCCCCGTAGATTTGCTAACCCGAAATGTCAGGAAGCACCATGGGCAGCCCCGTTATAAACACACTGTAGGAAAGTATTCTTTCCATTCCTTAGTTTTGATTCCTGGCCTCTTAGAAAACTTCAGAGGAAGCGACTCCTGTCTTATCTCCATGTTGCTGAGTCCTTGCGGGTTTAGAGACATGTGGGTGGGGAACAGGCCATCTGTAGACTCAGAGTCCCGGAGCTCAGGCATGCTGCTCCAGGCACCCCTTTAACAGTGTCTCTCCTTGAGCTTCCCGCCCTCCTCTCTGCCTCTAACCAGGTCTGGTTCCAGAACCGGAGAGCCAAGTGGCGCAAGCGAGAGAAGCGCTGGGGTGGCAGCAGCGTGATGGCTGAGTATGGGCTCTATGGGGCCATGGTGCGCCACTGCATTCCGCTGCCAGATTCTGTGCTCAATTCGGCAGATAGCCTGCAGGGTTCCTGTGCACCCTGGCTCCTGGGTAAGCCAAGGCTAAGTACAAGACCAGAGAGGCTGGCGGGGTCCTTACAGTGGATTTGCCAGAGCAAAGCAAGATAGGTCTCAGATTTAGGCCCAGTCTGGACTCTAATTTCTCTTTAATTCCTAGCCTTAATTTTCATTGGAACAGTGAAGGCAGTGTGTGGGATAGCCATCGTAGGCTGCTCACATTGGCCAATATGTATTTGAAACTTATGAACAGCGAGACTTGCCTTGTGTTTGATACATATTTTCAAAGTGGCAAATGCTACTAGAAAGTTTAGAAACTCTACAGTTTAGTGTGCAAGGTTTATAGGGACATACAGAGCAGGGACAATCTAGAGCATCCCCTTCTGTTGACACCCCTGAATAGGACAGGTCCTGGTCTTGATTTAACAAACCTGCCCTAGAGTAGTGCCTCTGCTGGTGAGGTCAAGCCCATTCTCGTGCCCTTACCTTTGACTGGGTTCAGAGTTCAGAGGCTTGGGTCACAAGATGATCACTACCAGAAAATTAGTTAGGTATGTCATAGTGAGATTTTAGGTTGGGAAAGTTCAGTAAATTTTTTTTCCGGCTCCGTGCTATGCTGAGAACTGGAGATACAGCCTAGATTTTGCCTAAGGACTGAAGGGATTAGAAAGAAGTGGGTATGGACAGCCAATGCCCACGCTACAAATAGGGATACTTGCTGGCATAGGACTTTAGTCACACAAGCAAGTGGGTTTAGTGCTGAACTAGGGTCAGTTTGTTATTCAAACAAATGTGAAGTCACTGTGTCAACCAACAAAGCAATTTTGAGGGAGTGACAGCTGATGGATAGGGCCTTCTACACCCTAATTCTGGGAGTTAACTACCTGGCGACTCTCCTCTAGGCTCTAGAGGAACACTGACAAATAAAATTTTGGAGATAGGAAGAACAGTGGTAAGAAAGGAATGTACTTAATTGCTGAATTTAAAGATAGTTTTGAGTCTGGTGTGATAGCACATGTCTTTGATCTGAGTACTTGGGATAGAGAGGCAGGCAGATCTCTGTGAGTTTAAGGTTAGCCTGTTCTACATAGCAAGATCCGGGACAGAGACAGACCCTGCCTCAAAACAAAACAAAGCAATTTTTTTGATGTTGTTCTTTTTTATTTTCTAGGGATGCATAAAAAGTCTACCGAGATGAGGAAACCAGAGAGTGAAGACAAGTCAGGAGGACTCTGGGATTTTGACCACTTTAAGGAAGGTGCTAATAAAGGTCAGGATGGATCTGAAAGGGACCCAGACAAAATGAACCTAGATCCTGAGGATAGCTTGGAAGATGTGGCCATTGACCTGTCCAGCTCTTCCAGGCAGGAGACGAAGAAAATGCCCCTCCAGTCCAGTGCTCAGGGATATTCCCATGACCCAGGGCTGCAGGTGCTCCAGCCCCCAAAGGTGGGAGCCTCATGAGACCAACAGATAGCTCCCTCTTGGAAAAATACGTATTTCTCATGAGCAATTTTTGGAGACAAAACTGCTCTAAGACAAACACCTTCAGTTTGATTTTCTTCCTGAAACATCTGGATAAATGCTGATCCAGGGGAGGTCCCATTTAATTCTAGAATGGAGAGCATTCACACAACCTCTTGAATCAGTCAATTTGGCCTAAAGTTTTGTTTCTTCCTTGTAGAATTTGAGCAGGGAACATTTGAAGTTCAAAGATAATTTTAGGGACAGGGTGTAATGTAGCTCAGTTGATAGTACACACAAAGGCCTGGGGGTCGATCTCTAGCACCACATAAACTAGATGTGGTGGTACACGCCTGTAATCCCAATACTCAGGAAGTGGAAACAAGGGATCAGATGCTCAAGACCATTACAGTTTGAAGTCAATCTGGGCTACATAAGACCTGAGATAGATATAGATAGATAGATGATAGATAGGTAGATAGATATTATTACCACCTATATCATTGAAATGTGATTTAATCATTAAGAGGGCTGATCTGACCTCTTCACTCCAAGTTAGAGCATTTAGTTTGGTTTTAATGAGACAGGGTCTTGCTCTGCAGCCCAGGTTAGCTTCAATTTTGTGATTTCTTGTCTCAGCCTCTCCAGTGCTGGGGTTACAGGTGTGAATATAACTGTTTTACATTCCTAAGGGAAGTTTCTAAACAGATGAATAAATGAATGGATGCTATATTACCTTCCCTTGAATTGGGTCTTAGACATTCTTCTTTTTCATGGTAGGCAGTAATTTTGTATTCTGAGTGTTAATTGATAGGCCTTGAATATTCAATGCATAAATAGCAAAGAAAGTCATACTCCCCCCACTCCCCCCCTGGAATCACCTAGAGACATGTTTAGACAACTGTTAAATACCTGGAGACTGAAAATCAGATCTGATTTCCTGGTCCTTTTGAATTTATGTTTGGAGCACTTTAGTGACTTGAATTAACGAATGTTTTCTTTCCTTTCTTTGCTGTTTATTTATTATTTAAAAATAAATGTGTGGTGTGTCTAGCTCAAGACTATTTTCTGGTCTCCCGATTGGCTTTCCCCTCCTGTCCCCTCTTAGGGCAAGCACAGCAGGTTGTCTTTCAGCCCCTGTGGGGCTTACGGTAGGGCAGTGGCCCTGGCTGAGTCATGTATTGGAGTGTATTGTCTGAAGAAGGGTTGTCTGTTTTGGCAGCTTCCTCTGCAAATTATGGCAGGAATCCATCACCTTGGGTACACACACACACACACACACACACACACACACACACAGACACACACATACTCACACACACTCATACACACAGAGGCACACACACTCACACAGTCTTACAGACTCACACACAGAGACAGACACACACACACAGATAGATACACACTTACACAGAGAGACAGATACGCTCACACACACTCTCATACATACACTCTCACATACGCCGTCTCTTCAGATAAGAAAACAGGAGGTTTCCTCCTTTGAGCTATCTCCATCTTTATCCATGTTAGGTCTATAGTGTTGTAAATATCGAATACTACTGATTCCAGACTATGGGATAAATAAGTCTTCTCACTTGAACTTATTCTGGCTGTTACTGATCCTGGCTGAGTCCTAGGACTGAGTCTTAGTGTAAATCAGAAGTCTTTCCATCCTTCCTGCCTAGAGATAGCAGCCCTAGCTCTGAGCCCCCTGGGCCACATTCATTTGGATTCTTTAATCTTACAAGGAAAACTGTGGGTGGGTGGGGGGTGTTCACATACATTTTCTGTTAAAAATTAATTTATTATTTTTAATTAATGTGCATATGTATTTATGTGCATTATACATGTTCAAGAGCTCACAGAGGGCAGAGAGCGTATAGGATTCCCAGGAATTAGAGTTATAGGATGTTGTGAGCTACTCTGGGTGCTGGGAACTTCAAGAGCAGTAAGCACTCATAACTGCCAAACAGTCTCTCTAACCCCTCACACGTTTTTATCAGGCACTATCCTCAGATTTTTCATCTTTAATTTATCAAAAGTTGAGTTTGAGGAAGGGAGCTAGTAACTGTTGTGTATTTCCTCAGCATTGAAACAATACTTCTTAGAGAAGGAAGGAGGCCCTCCTTTCTATCTAGGGAGCCTAAGAAAATGAATAGATTCTAGAAGCTCAGAAAGTCACAAAACTCATGTAGCTCTTCCCTGGGGTTATGAAAACTAAATGGTTTCAGGGAAGGATGGGTCTGCCTGCATAATCCACAGGGTGTTCTAGAGATGCAGTTTCTGTCAGTCAATGCCCATGCATGGTGGTTTTTGCTTACACAGCTGCCTTTGAGTCACCCATGGACCTGTAAATGACCCCCATAAACTCACTGGCTCACTAAGCTAGACTTTGGTGGAAATGTTTCCATAGTCTGTTGTTAGTGCCCTGTCTGCAATGAATACAAGTTTGTTCACATATTCCTAGGAAAAGTGATGCCACCCCCAAGCAACTTGCATGCTTTCCGCTGGAAAGATACTGGTAAAGTATTAATACTATTAGAGAATTTATCACAGTGAAACCTGTGTGAGATCACAGTAAAATGTTGCTGAGTGAGAAATCCTTTAGAGGGGGAAAAAGATACAAATAGAAATAAGGACGTTTAAAGTACAGTGAAAATGAAATAAATAACATTTGACAACTGGTTCTGCATAAACATAGGAACAATGGACATATTTCTCTGAAATATTGTGAAGAGGAGATACCAGAAATGGTGTGAGAAAAGGAGAAAACCATATATTTATATACATATATACATGTATATATGTGTATAAATATTTTTCTTTTTTCCTTGACATGGGTTTCTGCTATATTGCCCAAGCTATTTTGATTTTTCTGGAATAAAGTGACCCTACTGCCTCAGCCTCTTCAGTAGTTGTATCACAATTATGTGATCACCCAGCTAAAGCTATGTTATATATGTAAGAAAAAACTATGCCCAGTGAGATGGTATTTGGGAGGCTGGACCAGAGGATCTCAAGTTCTAGGCCATCCTGGGCTACAGAATGAGATCTTGTTTCTTTTTTTCAAGATAAGGTCTCACTATGTAGCCCTGGCTGTTCTAAAACTCACTGTGTAGACCAGGCTGGCTTCCAACCACAGAAATCTACCCGTCTCTGCCTCCCAAATCATGGCATGACCATGAGATCTTGTTTCAAAAAATAAAATAAAATCACTACTCACAACTAAAATGACAGACATGTTCACTAATTTGTTATAAAAGTCATTAAAAAATGGGCTATGGAGATGGTTCAGTGGTTAAGAGCACTTGTTGCTCTTCCAGAGAACCAAGGTTCAGTTCTCAGCACTCACAGAAAAGCTCAGAACTGCAACTCCAGCTGTGGGGGATACAATGCCCTCTTTCTGCCTTTGTAGGCATCAGGCGTGCACAAAGTACACAGACATATCTGCAGACAAAATACAAACATAAAATAAAACAAAATAATAACAATGAAATTCAAACCCATAATGCTTTTATTAGGGAAAAAAAATCTATGAATGGTACATTTCCTGAGAAAATACATATTACTAGAACTGAATTGACAAAAGTACAAAGTATGTGTAGTGCTTTGAATGTAATTGGTCCCATAAACTCATAGGGAATGACATTATTAGGAGATATGACATTATTATAGCATTACTAGGAGGTGTGACATTATTGGGAGGTGTGGCTTTGTTGGAGTAGGTATTGCCTTCTTGGAGGAAGTGTGTCACTGTGAAGATAGGCTTTAAGGTCTCATATGTGCTTAAGCCACAACTAATGTCTCAGACCAGGTTTTGTTTCCTGAAAGATGTAAGACTCTCAGTTACTCCTCCAACACCATGTCTGCTTGTACTCCACCATGAACCTTTGAACTGTAAGTGAGCTACCCCAATTAAATGTTTGCCTTTGTAAGAGTTTCCATGGACATGGAGTCTCTTCACAGTAATAGAAACCCTAATGAGGGGTTTCTATTAAACAAGGACTTCCTGAAACATTATACTCTAATACGGCTGTAGATTGATGTCAAATCACATGCAAATTCTTGAAAGTCAAATAAAACATTTTTATGGTATAGATTTTATCCCTGTACACAGAAAATATGTAAGATTGCTGACCTAGCATTATCCAAATTCTAGAACTTCCAAAAGTTAACACACCCATCTCCCAGCTCTATTTTAGCTCCATAAATGGAAATATGAGATTTGCAAATAACTGTTAATGTTTACAATCCAACAGAATACTAGATTCTTGTTCTTGGACTGCAGAGGTCTATTCCAGGCACACAAAGGCATTTTAATATTGTCATTCTTAACTCAGGAATGCAAGGGTATCTTAATATTATGAAGGAAATATACATTTATTAGCATCTCAAACTATACAATAAGGTTATCTTGGTAGATACTGAAACCATTCAACAGGGAACTGAGGAAATTGCTCAGTGAACAAAATGTTTGCTGTGCAAGCATGAGGACTGGAGTTCAGATTCCCAGAATCCAGTTAAAAGCTGGATAGGCATAGTGACCTGCCTGTAATCTAGTACCCAGTAGGCAGAAACAAGGGGTCCACAGGGCAAATTGGCTAGCTAGAGTAGCTGTAATCTGTGAGCTCTGCCTCAATAAATAAGTGGAGAGCAATAGAAAATGACACCTTGTTGTGCCCAGACTCTGGACCCCCCAAATCACCAAGAGATCAGATCTAATGCAAAAGCAAGGAGTCTATTTAATTATGAGTTAACTTGGGTTCTCCGTCCATCCAACACAGTGAGTGGAGTAGGAGGGACCCAGAGCAGCAATGGGATGGGGCATATATTGCAGGTAGAGCAAGGGGGAGGGAGGGACTGGGGGTATACTAGTTGGCATAGTAACAGTCTCAGGATTGGTGCAACTCTAGAATGGGGGAACCTGCCCTGAGTTGATTGATCAGCTGCAGCTGCAGAAAGGTTGCTATGCTTGGAGGCCATCCAAGGGCCTTTGCTACCTCCTGCATTCCACTATTATCACATCTAAAGCCTGACAGCTAATTTCTGATTGGTTCCTTATCACACGGAGGGCATCTGGCAGTTTATTCCCAGTAATTAGGGCAAGGTGGGGGCGGTGTTCATATGCTGAGCACCGCTTATATCTTGCTGGGTCTTTTCTGCTGCCTGTCATGGCTGCCAAAGCAGGGGGCCTGGGTGAGGGTCTGGGCCCTTCAGCCTGACATCAGTTTTGAGTCTCTACAAGCACATACACACATGCTTGCATGGG